ATGATGACTCAAGATCCACCAGACTCTTTCATCTTTGCTGCATAATAGGGCAAACACAGCATTAGCCCCATCTGCTAAGAATTCATCAGCTACAACTTCTAGGAACCTCCAGCATCATCTGCCCAAAGTTTTGAGGCCTTCTTAGCAGATGTCTGGATGGCTGAAAGCCTCTGTGATGACAATGGGCAGGAGACCTCTAGTTGTTTTCAGAAAGAATTAACCACAATATCATAGGGCACGCAAAGCAGATGATGGAGAAAAACAGCAGCATGTATTTACCAAGGAAAAATCTGCTTGATCAACACAATTGACCACTATGATGATGTGACTGAATCTGTGAATGAGAATGGAGCAATCAAAGTTGCTCACTTTGACTGACGAGCTTTCAACATCATAACTGACAGTACCCTTGAATCCAGGTCAGTATACTATAGTTAACACACAGAGACTCCAGGTGGATGAAACACTGGCTGGATCATTTGGCTCAAAAGACAGCAGTTATCAATCCACACTATACCTAAAGGGCAGCCCCAAGTAGAGTTCCTCAGCCAGAATCCATCCTCACTGAGATTTTGGCACACAGTGAGCTGAGGGGTCTAGTCACACTCAAGTGCAGGGCAGCCCCTGAAAGCAACCCAGACAGGCTGGCAGAATGGGCCAAGAGGAACATTTCTCATGAAATTCAAACATGAGCAAAAGCAAAGTTCTGTGCCTGGGACAGACTAACCCCCTGCAGCTCACTGTACAGGCTGGGGTCTGATTAGCAAGGAGCAGCTCAGCTGGAAAGGAGCTGACGCTCAGGCAAACCAGGAGCATGCCCTGGCAACAAGGAAGGCAACAAACACACTGGACTGTAGCAACAGGAGCATTACAAGCAGACTGAGTGAACTCACTATTCTCTCGATGCTTCTTAGATCACATCTGGGAGAAGGCAGCCAGTTTTAGGACAAGTTACAAGAAAGACATTGACAACTGGAGGGGTTCTGCAAAGGGCAGCACCTTCCCCATGAAGAATGGCTAAAGGAGCTAGGATTGCTGGGCCCAGATAAAAGAAGGTTTGGAAAACAGAAGAGCAATCTGAGCTAAGCAGAAGTAACTGCAAAGACAGAGCCAAGGTCTCCACTGAGATGCTTGGTAAGAGAATGAGACACAAATTGACACAGAAAAGATTCCAATTAGATGTCCTAAAAACCTTTTACCTTAGGGTTGCCCAGAGAAGTTGTAGCATGTTCATCACTGTTTTCAAGACGAGATGATACCCTCAGTCTGAATTCAAATAAGAAGTCTAAATTCAGTTTTGACTCTGCTTTGAGAAAGAGCTTGGAACAACCCACATGACTACCAACTAAAAGCATCTAGAAAGGTCTCTAACAACAAGAATATCCTCTAGTTCTAAGCATTTTCCTTTTCAAGTTCCTATGAAGACACAAGCTTTGGACAGCAACTTTCTGTCTTTATATACCACATCATTTTTTCTTCCACTGGAGAATTCCAAATGGTTTTATAACTTCAGGCTTTTACAGTTCAGTAGCCTACAAAGTATCATCTTATGACAATTCATTATGGCCTCTAAATATAACATGACACAAAAGAAAAGAAACTGAATTCAAAGAGGGAAGGAAAATACCTCTCAACATTAAGATACTTCAAGGCTTTTCTGTGAAAAAATCAGAATTATATTCACTGATAGAAGAAGGCATAGAAAGGTATTTCCAATATTTTAAAAGTATTTCTGTATTGAAAAGTACAGAAGCAACAGTCAGCATGTTGCAACAAAATACACATGAGACCACAGTATCTCTCCACCCTTGGGAGAGGGAGGAGCACTCTTTCAATTCCTGATCCTTTCTGACAAGAGTAGAAAGGCTGATAAAAATACTGCACTGACCAGAAGTCAGCAGAACAATGCTCAGAGATCTCTGTGGTAGATGGCATTTTCTGGTAGAAAGAAGAAACTGCATTTTCTGCAGAAGGCTGGAATAACAGATTTCAAAATAACAATGAACAACTCACGAGGTATCTTGATTTGCAGACAGGCCATGAAGAATCTGTTTTACTGTGTTTATACTTCTGTCCTGAAGGGGCCAAGGCAGGAATCTTTCTGCTCTCTTACAAATGGAGGGATCCACATGCTATATACAGGTATAACTATACCTCAGCAACACAAGCCTCAAAAATGCCAGATGGCTTTCTCCTCATAGAGGTGCAGACTGGTCTGGGACCCTGAATCTGCACAGCCCCACTGTCAAGCAGGCTGCAGTCAGAAAGAAGCTTTGCACTGCTGATGCCAACCAATTTTCCATGAGCCTGTTTTTTTTTTCCCCAAAACTTCTACTTTTAAAATGGAAAAGTCATCTATTTATTTTCTTTCGCCAACATATAATACCAGAAAAGCAAAACTGCTTTCATAACCAATCATTATATGAGAAAAGTTACCACTGAAGTGGAAAAGAGCAATATCCAAAATAAATCCTCATAACAACACAGTGGTGCCTCAGTGAGATAAATACAAAGGCAAAAACTCCCAAAATACAAAGCAGCCCACTCCAAGAAAGCAGTTTAAATAACCTCTTCCACAGTATTGGATTCAATCTCTACTAATTGCTAGCAAGCAAATTCACATTAAAAAAAAAAAAAAGAAAAAAATCATCCTGATACACAATTCAGGTACCACATTCACTTAGAACAAAGGTCCTAGAGAAATATTTTTTAAATTTATGTATTTTTTCTCAGTATACCTTAGAGGGTGGTTGATTTCTCCAGAAAATGGTAAAACAAGCAAATTCACATTAAATGCAAATAGTATGAAGTTAAATGCATTTATAAGCGAGGACCCTGTTTCTATACAATTTCTTCAATCCTACTACTTAAATAAAAAGCCAAATAGTCTTGTGTTACTTTCTCCAGCTTGTGGCCTCTATCAGAATAGGACTGCTCTTTTTCTACAGTTAGAACAAACTCTTTGTGCAAATTCTCAGTATTTCAGTTTTCAATGTAAAATACTTGGCTTCTCTTCACAGGAGAAGTTCATATGACATGTTTCACTACTTTTGTTGTTTTTTCCCTTTCCCGTGGACAAGGGCATTTCAAATCTTTTCACAGGACATGTTACTTCCAAGGTTTCCACAGGGATCCAGGTCTCCCACTTAAGAGTCAAAGTACAGAAGATGCATCTGAGAAGAGGACTAAGACACATGTTATGTAATGGCAAACCTTCCCCATTCTATGCCAACAGAGCAATTAACCCAAAGATTGAAAGGAAAGCTACAGGTGAAGTATCAGCCTATTTTAATGTGTTCTCAAAACATAAATTTTCCTGAATACACTCCTAAACAAGTTAGAGAAATGTAATCTAAAGTACAATTATGTGGGGACTCATATCCTTGATCAACTGTACTCACAAGACAGCAGCTAAATAACCAGGAGATGGACATTTTAAGTTATTTCCTGGATGTTATTCTTTCCAACAGTTTTAGTTGTTGGCTTGAATGACAGAACAGGTATGCTTTTTAAATTTATAGATGTTATCAAGACATAGGCCAAATAACTTAGGTGAAAGTGTCCAAAATAAACAATTCTGTACCAAGATTTCTTTTTTAAAGATTAAACCCAGAAAATCAAAGCAGCACTAGTAAAGAAAGCATCAACCAAAAGAGTTTCAATATTTAAAAAAAAAAAATCCATTAGACATAAGATACCATACAAAGAAGATAAAACCAAGAAAGAGTAGAGCAGAGAGAATGGGGTGCTCACAATGGATTAAAAATTCCATGTAGTCAATACTAGACTGTTGCCCAAAGAAGCAGGTCCAATTTCCAGCAGGAGTGTTACCCTCCTAGGAGGGTTATCAGTGAAGTCTCTGGAAAGCAATTACAGCTCCTCAGTGCTAATAACAAATCACAACTGGAATCCCATACTCAGTTTGGAGCACTGTGTTTAAAACTGCTGACAGAAAAAGAGAAAGCACCTAAGAGAGAACTGCAAGGACAATAGTTTTAGCAAATGTGGCTCATACAGAAAAAAACCAAAACAAAGCTGCTTGGATGTTTGTCTCAAAAATGCTACCATCTAAGAACACAGCCCAGTCACAAGAGTCTCCGTGTTCGCTCCTTCAATACACTCACGTGCTTCGTGAAGAGGACAGCAATCAGTGATGTTCTGTATGGAACAGTAAAGTTTGAACTTGCAGCTGAGCTGATTTAGACTAGGAAAAGTTGTGACAGAACAGACAAACAAAGGAGCAAGATATCCAAGGATGGTGTGGGATCTCTTGCCTTTTATGATTTGCAAGAACTAGACTGACAAATACTCTGAAGAGACTTCATGCCGCCCTAGGGCAAATGAACAATATCACTTGCATTTATGTGGTACAAAGTGACTTTGCAGTACTAGGTCCATGATACCTTCAGAGTAAATCTGTTCTTTAATTTCACAACTGCCCATGTTAGAAATGGAAATCAGAATGGTTGAGGTTGGAAGTGACCTCTGAAGGTCTAGTCCAGCTACCCTGCTCAAACTGGGCCAGCCATAGAACTCTGTCCTGGATGAGTCCAAACTGCTTCTCTGTCCATGGATGGACACTCCATGACCTTTCTGAACAACCTATTCCAATGCTGGGTCATTCTTACAGTAGAAAAGCTTTTCCTGATGTTCAGATGGAGCCTCCTGTGTTTCAGTTTGCACCCATTACATCTGGTCCTGCCCCTGAGTGCCACTGAAGAGAGCCTGTCTCCATCTCTGCACCCACTTTCAAGTATTTACACACTCTGGTAAGTTGTGTTGCCATCCGTGTGTCTCCCCACAAGAGAAGCCCACAAGACTTCTCTTGTACAGGCTGAACAGTCCCAGCTCTCATGCTCCAGTCACCTGATCACTTTAGCAGCCCTTCATTCAGCTCTCTCTGTCATCTCCATGTCTCTCTTGTACTGGGGAGCTCCGAACCGGGCCCAGCACTCCAGGTGTGGCATTCCCAGTGCGGAGCAGCAGGGAAGGATCAGCACCCTCAGCCTGCTGGCGACTCTCCATCTATCTCCATCCAGGATGCCGCTTGCCTCCTTCGTGCCAAGGGCACACTGCTGGCTCAGGCTCCACTTGCTGTCCACCAGGACCCCCAGGGCCTTTTTGAGCACAGCTGCTTTCCAGCAGCTTTCCTCCACCCAGCATCTGCTGATGCCTGGGTTTGCTCCTCCGTTGGTGGAGCACTTGGCACTTGCCTTAGCTAAGGGACAGGAATGAAAGAGTAAGACTTTATATCCTTCCTTTCAAGACTGATTCAAGCAACCTGTTTGACAACTGCCTTATCTATACTCTCTCTCTTCCCTATACTCTTCCATATTTTTCCATCTTCTACCAAATCTTTCTTCTGTTCCCTGCAACATTTCAACAACTATTCAGAGCTATAAAGTCCTTACAGATCACATTTGCCTTGCTACTACTTACACTGCAAGATCTTGTCAAGCCTGTTCTTCAAGGTGCACACACCTTTAAGCTAAATGAAATATATTTAAATCAAGTCTGAAATTACTGCTTGATAAACAGCACTGCACATGTACCATGTCTCAGATGTGACTCATCTCTACCAGGGGCTAATATATATGCATGCCAAGATCAAACGGAACAAAACAAATGCCATCAAGATTAAGAAGAAACACACATACACAGAGGTTTGTATTTACAAAGCAGCCCAAAGGAGTGTGCACCCAACTAAAATGAAGTGAAATTCAAGCACACAGAACCACCCTCCAAGGCACATAACCCTCAGCTATACTTCAGGTTCAAATAAAGAACAAACAAATTTAAAAAAAAAGACGACAACAAAAACAATCAAGGCAGAAATAACTCAGCGCTGGGAGGCAGACTTCCCTAGATTTTGTTATTGCTTCAGTCCCTTGTTTTTTCAATTTATTAAAAAGCTGTCTGTGAAGTTTAATATGTAAACAATGCACAGAGGATGATATTGCTTTAAATTAAGCCTGCACGAAGTCCAAGTAATTTAATTGGAAACATAATTTACAAAAAGCTGATTTTGTTCCCAATAATATTGTTAATGAGAGTCTTCTTTACCTGGGGTCATTGTGCATTTCTGTCTGCTTCCAAGTACAGAAGCAAACTCTCTGTTACCAGTCAGCTGTTTCAACACCCAAAACTCAGATGGAGAGATGGTTTGTAATGATTCTTTCTACATAAGTTTCTCCTCTGTATTACACTTTGCAACAAGCAAGCTATGACTGGCAGAAGCTTGCTTTATTCCAGGCTATTTAATAGCACTGAGTTCATATTTCCTCCAACATATGAGGAACACTTCTTGATAATACACATCAGATAATCCAGGAACGCAGGTTCAGCTTTCACCTGAAGCAGTGCTGCTTTATTGCAAGCAATTAGGCTGGTTTCTACATACTCAAAATGCTTTTACTGAAACTATGAAATTCTCTGCTACCTGGAATTTTCACATCTTTACTGGCAGAAAAGTTTCCATGCTTTCAGAGTTTTTTTAAGAAAAACATATCTAATGTCATTGTTCCTATGGCTCTAATTGTCTCATTAATCCCTTCTCATATATGAAAAAAAACCCAAAACAAAAACAATAAACACCCCCCCCCCCAAAAAAAACCAAAAAAATAAAAAAAAAAAAAGAAACCAAAAAAACTCAGCCAAAAGAACCTGGGTTTTATTTCATTTTTTTTTTTTAATGTTATCAGCTTTCAGAAAAATATTTACTATATTCAGAAAATCAACTAACATGTAAAGGTTTCTGTGGAATAGGATTAAGGGTCCTTTATTCTAAGGGTGTAATTCCTTAACATCTTGGAGGAGAAGTACAAGAAGAAGTTAATAAAATTTGAATTTTCTTCGAAGTTATATAAAAACAATAAGCAATCCCTCTTGGCATGTATGTCATTTAAGACTAGAAAAAGAGAACAATCAAAATAGATGTCACTAGTAAAAGCTGTAGCATAAATGTCTTTTTCAAATTGCACACACATACACAAGAACAAACAACATTCCAGCCTCATTCATGTTTAAATTAAGATTCAGAATACCTAAAGGCTGCTTTGAAAACATCTGTTAATTCAGCCTTTTTCTGAGGGGAAGAAGGGGTAAGACACAAGCTCTCATTTATTTAAGCTGCTATTCCAAGAAAACTGATTATCTCTCCAAGAGAATGTTAATTCTTCTACCTTTTCATTCAGCAACTGAACAACAAGACATACATACCTGTAATACACAATAAGATTGAGGCATGCACTCACAAAAGGAAACAAAGACATTTTTGGACGCTTTCAGCAAAATTTTCTTTATATGGCAATAGATTTAAAAGGGACAGAAGTGTTTGTACTATCAGCTCCTCTAAGCAGATCACACTACAATGTACAGCAAACATACAGGAGCTTTGTCAGAGTATAACACCACTGGAAATCTGTGCCTTAGCTTGAAAAAGAGCAAAATCTTCCCTGAAGGGCACATGCAGGCTCTGAAACCCTATCTCACTATCACAGGATAGCATGGTAACTGGGCAAATGATAAAAGTTCTCGCCAAAGGTCTTTTGTGATGACCAGACAGGGTTGTAAAAACATCTGCAATCAACATATCAATTTGTGTGGACAGTGCTGCTGATTTTCTTCTCTTCCTCTTCCTAGGAGTTATTATTCATGGCATGTTATACAGGTACTATAAAGTTAACCAGGTTATAAAGTTAACCAGAAAATAAAGTCTACAGGAGAATTAGCATAAAAATCATTATGTGCTTCTGTTATCTTTGGATGGCTAATTATCATACAATAGCAGATTACAATATGACAAGAAAAGGCATATACCAGAGGTTAGATTTGTGAAATTTAGCTGCAATTTCTAAGTTTGTCAGAAGGCTGGCAGGAGACAAGGCAATGAAACCTTCATTTTCATTTCAGTGCCCAGGAACACTCCTCTGTTCTGACCTCCTGCTCTGCCCTCTCTCACTCTTGGGAAGGCCAGAACATGGTCCCAAGTTTGCACAAAGGCAAAAGCTCTCCAGCATTACTTCTCTTTAAAGCTTTTTTCAAACCTGAATGGTTCTGTGATTCAGTAACTGGATCTCTATAAAGAAAACATATCCCTGTGGATTCCAGATCTCCCAGGCAAGCATCTCAGACTTTTCAGAGTGTATCCAACAGGCACAGTGCAGGAAGGAGCCTAGAACTCCCCAATAAGCCCAGATGTGAGCAGTTTCTACAGGAAGTCAGCCTAGGCTCCGCTGTCCCACTTCCCTGGCTAATGTCTCATCTCATCATCAACCATGGGGGCTGAGGAGGAATGCAAGTCAAGTCAGACTCGCACGGAGTCCAAACAGCCACAGGTTGTGGAAGATCTGCTCCCTCTTTCCCTCACATTCCGCCTGCTCTCATCTCACTTGTGGCAACAAAATACTAAATCCCTCAAAGTCTGCAAGATAAGAATCTGAGTCTTAGCTACCTTTAGCCACCTAAATAAGAACAAAAGAACTGGGCTCCTGCTGAACTATTTCGGGGAAAGGAACACCCAGGATGAAGCAGCAGCCCAATACACATACACTCTTTCACACAGACAGAAGCTGCCAGGACTTCTTTTTGAAGTGGAAAAGAGCATCTCTGTTAGCTAGAGGTATCCTTGGGCAAACCAGGAACAAAGTCCTCATTTTTTCCCCACCAGCAAAACTAATGGACCTAAACATCTTCCAGGTGTAAAAGTGACTTTGGAAAAGTGAGTAGAACTAATATTCTAGTTTAACTGAAAAAAACCTCACATGCTAAGCAACTGGAATAGAAAAAGGTAGAAGGACCACAAGCAGCACCTTCACTCAAGTTAACTAAAGCAGACAGAGCTGGGCTGACCTGGGTATTGAGACTGAATTTTTCCAGGGGGTAAGCTTCAAGAATCAGCATCTGAAGACAGTACATTAGCAGGGCTCAAAACCAGCTTATGATATAGGCTGTAACACTGAAAGGCAAAATTGCTGAAGACACAGCAACTAGGGCTAGCATAAAACACACCACTAGAATTTTTTTTAATAATGAAACATAAGAGATGAGCTCAGGTGAAAACCACCTACTTTTGGTGTTTCTGCTGCATGATGGACCAGTCCTGTTCTCTTTAAAAAAATCAGTTTCTTAAATGGAAGACAGCAAATCTGAGGAGTATCTAAATGCTGTTGACCGCTAGATTTGCATTGACCCTGTCCTTTCTCAAGTCCCTACCCTGCAAACCATACTTAGAAAGAAGCAAACATAGAGAATACAGAGGAAAAAAGGCAGTCTGAAGCTTGACACCTGCTTCAAACCATGGTATTTTCTGTGCAGAAAAAGAGATCTAAACCAAATGTGAACTGTGAAAGACAAATTCATCATAGCTGGCTACACATCATCTGCCAAGAGCGTCTACCAGATCGGTGTTTGTTCTGGGCAGGTGAAAGGCCTATTGAGATATCACTGTTTGCACTGCCTACTTGTCTCCTGACAAGGGTGGAGCACTGGAATAAGCAGGTCCCAGCTTGTTGGCACTACAATAAACTGAGAAATACTCATCTTACTCTGGTTATTTCCAAAAACCTGCAGTTGTGCCTTCCTGAGTTTCGAGTACAGTGTTGTGGCATCAAATAGCTCTTTGGGACAAAGATCTAGACTGAAACAGGACCTGAAACATGGCTTCAAGGAGGGAAATGCAAGGATATATAGGCTATATATGTGACGCTACTAGACAAAAAGAATATAATCTCAGTACGTCCAAAGTGTACATCAGAAAAATATGGATCCATGCAGGTAAAACCACCCAGTTGCAAATTAGTACAATTCACTGACATTAGCAGTGGCATACTTTCAGCACAAGCCCCCATTTAAATAAGTACTAAGTTCCCATTTAGTACCAAGACTGATAGTATGTCACCACATCAGCTTGCTTAGAGCCCTTAATTAAGGGGACACACTACAATTTTTCTTTCAGTGTTTTTCTCCCCCTATCCCTCCCTCCTATCACACCCATAGGGAAAATAAAATCCTGCTGCAACAGTCAAGCATCCTTCCAGTGTCACAGCCTTACATTTTTCAGTATGAATGAACACTGGCCTTATATTCATTTCTAAGGCTCATTTACAATACAGCTGGATCAGTTCTTTCCTAGTTCATTTGCTTTCAATAGGGGCTTCATTCTCAATTCAAATGACAAATCACTCCAGCAACCACACATACACATGGCTTCCTCAAGCCTGGCAATTTTTAGGTTTAATGAAGCCTTTTAAATGACTGTTGTTTAAATTACTGTGTAGCAATATATACATGTTAATTACTTTGGAAGACCTGTGCAAAGTAGACAAACATTCAACTTTAATACACAAATATTGTGGCCAAGGATGTTTTAGATACTGAACAGAGTTCATACTGTTGATTCATTTCATCTTTCATGCATTTTTCTGGCAAAAAAGCTTCTAATAACATGAACTAAAAGAACATAATCCCTTAAACATCAGGAATAATAGCAACTCTGTTGACCTGAATCTGTTCCCTTCAACTTCCTTTATCTGAAAATTGGCACTCATGCTAAATGAACAACATAAATAACAGCATTTAGTGATTGTGTTTGCTGGATAAGCTTCTCTATTTTTTCCATATTACTCTAGGAGGACTGTATTTTTAAAGTTATGATCTCTTTCAGATATTGCACCCTACTAAATACTTCTTGCTTATTTTGGGCTGCCAGAATTCTTAATTTCAGAAGAAAGATGGCAAAGTCATCTCAGTTTCTCAACAAAATAACATCATAATCTGTACTTTATCTTTGCTAGACCTTAAAATTACACGAAGGGCTTGTAAAACATTTATTACTATAAATAACATTGAGTGCAGGAGGGAGGATGCAGGAAGAATTAGATTTGGAGTATGTTACAGACGTGCCTACATTTGTTATTAGCAATGTGCGTGCACATTCGGTGTGTTTAGTCAGGAAGCAAGAGTCTTTCTCCATTCTGTGACACTGGCAGACATGCAGAGGTGATGACCATCAACAAACTGGAGCAGCTCAAGGTGTGCACATGATGCAGCCAGCAACAAAGTCACATTCTTGCT